TACTACTTACAATAATATAATACCACTAGAATATTTATTCATCATTTATGGATGATGATGATGATGATGATGATGATGATGATGATGATGATGAAAGCTCAGTGAAGAGATTGGCTTGAGAGACGTCAATGTAAAGGTGCCCATACACCTGACGGTTATCGTACCATAATTGCGGGTGATCCCGCGATCGTAGGATAATCGTAAGGTTGATGGGCAGACCGCATTTACTGTACAGTCGCACGATTTGTCGTATAACGAGCACGCTAGAAAACCTCTTCTTCTTTGCAACTCTAGTAATATTCTCTAAAAATATAGATTTCACTCAAATATTTGCACCAGATATGGTACAAATAAATGAGGAACTGCCCAGAACGGACTTATAAACTGATTTTACAAATAAAATACATTTTTAAATAAAATAGGGCTGGTAATGATTACAATTTTCGTGTTCGATTAATCAAAATTTTTTTAATCAATTAATTTCGATTAATGATAACGCACATACAGATCCAACTACATTGGCCTATACACATACAGCACAGCAATGACCTATACACATACAGCACAGCAATGACCTATACACATACAGCACAGCAATGAAGTCATAAAATGAACTCGGATCACACTCATCCAGCACGTTATTAATCTCACGTGCCCCACTCAATATGGCCGCCGCTTGAGTGGGGCAACTCAGAATAATAACGTGCTGGATCAGTGTGATCCGAGTTCATTTTATGACTTCATTGCTGTGCTGTATAGGCCAATGCCTTGGCTGGAGCTCGTGCAGAACAAGTTTCTTGGGCAAACTCACCTGCCCAAGTGGCTCCATCGGCTAACAAAGGGGGGAGGAGTCCGGTGACGTCGATGTCCGTGACGTCACCGGTTCGCCGACGGGACTCCCGGAAGCCAGCGGAGAAGGCGAGTGTTTTCATTAGCGATCAAAATAATTTTAATTGATCAAAAAGTTTAACGATTAATCTTTCATTTCCACGGCCCTAAGAAAAATGGATTAATTTAAAGATACTTTTAAAGTGTTTTTTCCCACCATGAGAAGATCAGGGACGGGTCCCCTTTGACCTTTTTACGAGAAGGCTCCTTTCCAAGAACAGAGTTTTCTGATTGGTCACGTGATCTCTGCCCGCGGCCTGTGATTAGACGCCGTTTACGCTTAGTCAGCGTTATACACAAAGTATCCTTCTTGTATGTAGACTTCTTGTATGTTTTATAGATCTGCACGCCTACAAAAAGGCAGAAATCAAACCCACCCAGAGTCATAAATATGGAAATGACATCGGGGCCGTAATCCCGCTCTGCGCCGTCTTTCACGAAATTTGCTAAGACGGAGCCATAAACGTATTTTCAGACTTGACGTCTTTATAACGAAGCCAAAAATGTGAATTTTATTAGAGGGTTTTGTGCGCTGTTTGGGCTGTTATGATGTCTTTTGTTGTGTTTTTATGTTTTACTACTTGTTTTTGTACTTTTTATTTTTATTTTTATCCTCCGTATAATGCGAGGCGCAGGACGGGAGACGGCATGGAACAGTTCATGGAGAGATTTAACCCTATGATGCCCGGCCTCATATATGCGGTGCCATGGAGGCGGGCTATAACGCCGGGCGGCCATTGTTTGCTCACTCTGTGCTTCTAGCACAGTGAACGGGCTGTCGCTGACGGCTTCAAGTCACTGGGATAGGCTCCCGATCATGTGATTGATGCCACTGTGATCACATGATTAGGGAAGCCTGACCCCGGCTCCTGGCATTAAAGGAGAACCATGAGGCGGGTGATTTTCACTCATCCTCATAGTTCGAGCCGACCTGTGACAATGAGACTGTCACAGGTCGGCTCAATAGATCGGGAAGTGAGCGAACACATACCGGCGCTCGCTCACTTCTCGATCATCTCCCTGCAGATTGTACTGACTGTCACTCACGGCTCCCTGCAGGGATTCCCCCCCCCCAACGGGGGAGGGGGCGGGTACAGCTGGCTCTGCCTCTAGATAGGCAGAGCCAGCTGTCACTCACACAGCTGGGTGGATCTCGACAGTAACGTCGGGATCCGTCCCGGCTGCGGCGGTCTCAGTATACCGCGAGCTGTAGCTCCCTATATACTGAGCCTAGGGTGATGGGAGGACGCTAGTTTGTGTCCTCCCGTGACCCTGAGGAGAACTATGGGGAAAAACACTGACCTCATAGTTCTCCTTTTAGGGCTACTTAAGGGGCCAGCAGCAAAGGGTTAAAGAGACAATCAGATGTTTTTAAGCATTTTAAGGGCCCGTTCACACCAGCCTGATCTGCTGCACCGTGCTAAGCATCGTATTACCCATTAGGGCAGTCCTTTCATTGGCTCACGCACCACGGCCCACCAGCATTGCTGCATTATTGGCAGTGCAGAGGAACCTGTGCATCATGTGACTGACTTCTGCAACAGTTTAGCATATAAAAGAAATGCAATGGGGGTTAGGGGGTCACTCCCCCTAGGGAGG